CCGGCCTCTGATCCTGAGAAACACACACATCACATTAACACCTACTTATCTGAATCTACATTACCTGCCAAACATTTGGAATAATTGACATTTTTTTATGTTTTTGAAAGAAGCCTCTTATGCTAAGGCAGGCAGCATTTGATCAAAAATACAGCAAAAATAGTAATATTGTGAATTATTGTTACAATTTAAAACAACTGTCTGTTTGAATATATTTTAAATGTAAGTTATTCCTGTGATGGCAAAACTGAATTTTCAGCATCACAAGATCTTCCCTGAGAAACACACACATCACATTAACACCTATTTATCTGAATCTACATTACCTGCCAAACATTTGGAATAATTGACATTTTTTATGTTTTTGAAAGAAGCCTCTTATGCTAAGGCAGGCAGCATTTGATCAAAAATACAGCAAAAATAGTAATATTGTGAATTATTGTTACAATTTAAAACAACTGTCTGTTTGAATATATTTTAAATGTAAGTTATTCCTGTGATGGCAAAACTGAATTTTCAGCATCACAAGATCTTTCAAAAATCATTCTAATATACTGATTTGCTGCTCAAGAAATAATATTCTTATTATAAATGTTGAAAATAATAGCACTGCTTAGTATTTTTGTTTGTAAACTACCATTCAGATTAAGTTAAATAAAATATATATTTTCAGCAAAGACACATTAAATTGATCAAAAGGTACAGTAAATAAAGGTACGAAAATATATATTACAAATAAATTGTTCTTTTGAAACTGTGAAACTGTCAAAGAATCCTGAATAAAAAGCAAAATTAAGCAGCAAAAACTGTTTAGTGCTGACAATATGAACCCTTAATAGCTGAGCACCAAATCAGCAGATTATAAAGATCTTTAGCATTGTAATAATATTTCACGGTATTACTGTTCTTAATGTATTTTCGTTCAAATAAATGCAGCCTTGGCGAGCATAAGATACGTCTTTCAAAAACATTGAAAATCATAGTTGCTCTAAACTTTTGATCAATAGTGTATCTCTTTAGAATTGTTACGAGCAAACCTGTAGCATCCACAAAATAGCATAATACTGAAAAACTCAAATATTATTGACCCAATCATCCTGAATCGGACACTCAGATGAGCAAATCTTGGCCAACTCACCTTTTCTAAAAGAAAAAAATAATAATAATGTAGCACTCACCTGGCCAGGATAGCTCCAGCTGAAGCTGACATTCATCTCAGGTTCACCCAGAACTGTGCATGTAACATTGAAGATGTCTCCACCACTCACTATGTTCGAAGAAGCCTCAATAGTCACCAAAGGGGGGCCACTAGGCACTACGAGGGGAAAAATGGCAAAACAAAAATGCATCTTTGCCAAAAACACTATGTAAAATGTGTTATTAGCAGCACTACTATGCTCTCCTCTTACCTTCCACATACAGCAGCTGGTATTTAGTGGATATTTGTGGAGTGGTTTTCGTGGTGCTGTTGGCCTTGCAGTAATAAGCGCCCTTGTGTTCTGGACTGGGGTTTTGGATGATGAAGCCTTTCATGGGGTTGTAAGAGACCTGGATCCCATCCACAGCAATTTCTTCTGCAGGAACTTCCCTATGCAGCGAGACGTTGATTTTGGGGTTTGTCACCCGGCACGGGACAGTGGCAGGCTTGTCAGGGCGCAGGTAGATGATCTCAAAATGGATGGCAGAGGGGACAAACAGCTCGTCTTTGTCTAGATACAAAGAGAATTGTAACAATGTCTTTAGAGTTTCAAGATCACATAGAGGATATGTGAGCAGATGCTGTACCTGTGAAGTATATGTAGGTAGCAGAGGTGCTTTCTCCATCCTTTGTACATTCTTCTCCGTCACAGAGCACCACCCAGCAGCTGTACTCACCCGTATCAGCAGCAGAGGGCGAGGTCAGAATCAGCTGACTGTACCGCTCATGCTGCTTGATGCTGGAACAACACAATCAATTAAGTCTAGACTTGGTCTATGCATACTGATATCATACTACTTGTATTATTTCTGCAGTATATGATAGGCCTGTATATATACTATGGAACGTATGAGTCATTCTACAAATTTAGGTTACGTTTTATGTCCACCGATGATAAATATTTTCTTCTGACAATTTTCTTCAGAAAAATCCTATTTTATCCATAAAGGAAAACATATTCATTCAGTTTAGAAATCATTTCAGTTTGCTTGAAATAGCCTTGATGTCTCTTAAATGATATTTTTTGCAGTGTCCACTTTTGAAGTGAGCGGGTTAACTAAAACTAAAATCCTTTAAAAAGTCCAGTACTTTAAATGAAAAAAAAACTTAAAATTAAACTTAAATTACATTTTATTTTAGCTACTTGCCAAGGGAACATTTCTCAGTTTCTTTTAGTTTAACTTGATGTACTAAATAATAATTTTTAAAAAATTATAAAAACGACAAAAACACAACAAACCTACTAAAATGCTAAAATGAAAATGAAAACGGACAATAAAAAATATAATAATTTAGAAACTATAATAGCATAGCATCTCATTGATAATAAAAGAACACTGGTTTAAATTAATTTTAAAGTTAACATTATAATTTGAATTTATTTCTAACAGTGAATACTTCAGAAAAAAATTTAATTTGTTTTATTTTATAATTTTATATACTTAATATTTTATTTTGCTCAAGTCCACAAAAGTTTATCTACAATAACCTATTGTGAATTTTCTGAATGGATGAAATTATTAACCTACTAGATTTGTTTACAACTAGCACAAGCACAGAATACTGTATCCCAAAAAGCAATGTGTCCGACATGACCTTCCTGAAGTAATTACTGTTGACCACTGAATTAAATAGTCCAAATTTTTAACATTTGAATCCTTATCAGACAATTTTTAAATGTATTTATTTGTTTATTTATTTACATTAAAATAGAAATTTGGGTAACACTTTATTTTAAGGTTTCCTTGTTACATGTTACACATATTTATTATTATAACAAAAAATTATGCATAATTACATGCAATTAAACCTAAGCCAATCCCTTATCCTAACCCTAACCATATAGTAAGTACATGTAGTTAGATAATATTACTCAGTACTTACATGTATATTTACACTGTAACAAGGACAGCTTAAAATAAAGTTTAACCGAAACTTGTATTTATTCACAAGCAGTGTAATTATGTTACTACAACTTTGAAACACTAGTATTCCAAACTGAAAATACTCCAGGAGCTATTAATGTGTTAGATTTATGATTCTAACATAGATAAAGTGAGAAAGAAGAATACCTGAGGCGGTTGTCATTGAAGGTGTCCAGATAAGAGGGATATGCCCAGCCAATATTAGCCCCTTTGCATCTCAGTTCCATTGCTTTCCCTGGATTCAAGGAAAGGCTCTCACCCAGTCTGAGAAAACGGCCTTTATCAAGGACCTGGGTGAGAATAGACTGGCCCTTGCTTCCTGCCTCCTTCTCTTTAACTTTGGGGTAGCGAACCTTCACCCTCTTTCTTCCTGGTCTAATGCGGTTCTCACCAGCCTCTTTCTTACGCTTGACCTGCTGACACACACCTGGGTACACCAAACCACAGTTTTCCTAGTCAACAGCGTGTTGTTTCAGCATTTGGATGCGACTGGCAAATTTTACATGGGGAACTTCTGAAGAGCAGTAACATTCGTTTATTCACTGCTAGTAGGCCATAAACATAATACGGCATATGTTTAATTTCTTTCTTTGTGACACTTGATAACTCCTATGACCAAGCCAAAAAAAAAAAGAAGGAGAGAGAGAGAGAGCAAGCGTAAGAGGTTTCTGCCATCTGGAAATCTGCTCTATATGCTTCAGCTAACAGCTGTACAAACAGCAATGCTGGAAGTATGCCTTTCTTGTTCTCTGTGCAAAAGCGTACAAAACTGAACAATGCTGAGGTTCACTGAATCATACATTTTGACACATGCAAGGATCATGAGGTCTAGAGGAAAACTGTATACAGATCTTTTGATTCCTTTTGATTTATGTTTGAATTTTTAAAAAATCATAGGAAAAAAAACCTAAAAAGTTGCCTTGTTAGGATGCAAACATATTTGATTCTCTATCTGTTGTCTCTGCTGTACAATTTAATCATAAATTTAAGTAAAACTCTGCCCTGATTTGATCTCTCCTCCCCTTTCTACTCTGGAATTTGGTTTCCATTGGCACCGTAGTCACCACTGGCACACCATACACATTCAATGTATTTCCTTTTCAGGCAATAGAAAGACCATTTTTGACTTTCTTCATGTTTTGAAGTAATAATAACAAGGCAGAAGAAAGCTCTGCTCACCATTTTGGACCTCCAGCCAGAGCAGTGCCAGTGTGAAGAAGAGCCAGAGCTTCATGATGGCTGAAGTGGAGAGTTCCAGCAGAGCACACGGGGTCTGAGAGCAGCACAGGAGCTCTTCGTCCACTGTCTGTCCCGTTTACACAGTCAGCTCCATCCTCTGTGAGAAAAGAGGAATTTCCCCAACCCGTCTGCACACTCCCCCTTCAGTGTCAGTCTGTGATCCTCTAATGCCCTCTGCTGGACTGCAGCTATTTGCGGTATTGGCCTCATAATCCCAATCCCAAATTTATAAAAATAGTTTACCCAAAAATGAAAAATTGCGGGTGCTGCAGCCCCCTCAGCACAGACATTATCCAGTAATTTTACGGACGTTTCCGTTAGCCCTAAAACACAACGCAATGAAGTGCAAAATTCAAAATACAAGTAAAACACCTGTAAAAAAAATATATAAATACGGAAAATGTCTTTATCCTAAGTTGTGCCCCATTTTTATTTATTTTTTTTCACCCAGGATAAAAAAGTAAGTATGTTACCAGTAGTGAACAACACAATACAATATATATTGAAAAATATATATATATACAAAAATATTTTGCTAAACCTAGCTGCCTCTTTACTGCGTGAGTTCACGGCCTTGCGTGGGTCATGAGCAGAGTGCGCAGAACATTTTGCGGCATTACGTCACGAAAGTGCGGACTCAGAGGAAGACCACGAGGGTTTAGGGTGCCATTTGAAACAGGGCCTTTGTCTGAGGCTTTGGATTACAGGTAATAATGTGGTAAATAATGTTTAGTTTCTTACACAGACCGGTCGTTTCACTTTCACAAGACATCAATATATTGTCAGGAGCTGCATAGATTCATTTTGTGTTTTTATATCTGCTTTTTTTGACTCTCAAAGTGACGGTGCCCGTTGACTTGCATATTATGAATCACCAAGTGCCATTGTTCAGCTCTTCTGTACCATTCTACTGAATAAAGAAAGTCACCTACATCTTGGATGGCCCAGGGGTGAGTAAATTAACAGCAGATTTTCATTTTTGGGTGAACTATTTGATAAAGAATAGAATATTCATACAATATTCAGTATGAAATATTGTGAGATAGGTTTGTCTAACTTATATCATTCATTTTATACCCATGCCTCACAAATAGAGGTCACCTTATCAATACTTTTATTAATTATATTATTATTATTAAATGGGCAGTTCAGTGTTTTATTTACTGAGGCGTAATGCTGTAATCTGTTTCCATTGGCAGTTGAGTTATGCAGTTTTGCAGTAATTTGAAATCAAATATCATCTACTTTTGTTTTGATAGAAATTTAACATTACTTGATCTCATATGAAAAATGTTCTATGAGATGAGTTTAAAACTAAATTACTGAACAGCTCAACAGACCTACCAACCAAGAAAAAATATCCATTAAAATTTAAATAAAATGATTTAATGCCTATTTAAAATAATGTGGGAAAACTTTGTTGAAAAGGAAGAAATATTTTATTGTTTTGTATGAAACCACTTTGCAATGTTTTGACAATGGCATAATCCACACATTACGTACATTATTAAAAAACTAATTATAATGATAAGATACAATGATACAAAGGCTTTAAATTAAAGTTGATGTGCATTACTTAATGAGACATTAACACATTGTTATTAATGGTTGTTCCACAATCTTAGCCTCTCAATGACTCATTAACACCGCAATCTACAACTCAAAATTGAGTATTTATGGCGGAGAAGGACTTGAGCGCTGGATAGCAGAAGAAACACTTTCAGATGCTCAGGTTGTCCATTTTTTAGACCACTGCTTGCATCACATTGTTAGCTGGATTAAACGTATTGTCATGTATTGAATGACCGCAGTGAACTATGTGTAGATTGTTGATTATTCATCATAACATTTCTGAAAATTTCAGATTACTTAATTGTAGAGTAAAAATGTAGAAAGTAAATAAAGTGAAAGAAGGTAATTTTACAAGACAAAACTTCCTCTTCAACATCATCAGACCTTCTGGTTGTTAAACAACAGATGAATACTGTACATTGTAAGATATCCCTGTCAAACATTCAGCGATAATTATACAACACATGTAACATAGATTAAGATAAAAAGTAGTGTTTATCAGAATGCAAGAAAACATGAAATAGTGTTATCCAAACAGCTTAACATCTCAGGCACATACAGTACGTTAAAAGAATTAATTCTAAATTCTAGAATTAAACACTTTAACAAGACAAGTCAAGCATGTAGACATGCCGTGAAGCTGGCATGTTTTTTAAATTTAACAAACAAACAGTGGAAGTAATCTTAAGATACTGTATGTGGAAATCTTAATACTTTCATGCAAAAAAACAAAACAAAAACATGCTATCCCTTTTTCTTCAAGACACATTTAAAAATAAATTGCTTAAAACACAGAGGTATGTCTTGCAGGGGTGAAAATACTTGCTCTGACAACAATTCAATGCTGTTCTAATTATTTATTAATGAAAATTAATAAAATTGAAAAAAAAAAGAAAGAGATTTGGTCACTATTCATGTTCAGTTATTTTGCTACTATTCATAATTATGTATGTTTTATATCCAAAGTCACAAATATCAGTTTATATTGGGTACAGAATCAATTCCATAATCAATGCATTGAATTTTCATTGCCAGATCGCACACCCCTAACGTCCTACTATCACATCACAGATGAGAGCATCAGCACTGAGCGGTGTTACAGTGATTGTTCATGTTGGCAGTGACTGTAAAGGCAGAGCTGAATACACAGATGTCAGATCTATCAGCTGGTTGGTGAATGCCGTGGATAACAGCTAGTTACTATTATAGTTTTATCTGCTGTTCTTTAACATGGGCTAGTCTTCTCTATGTGCGTCACATATTCCACAGTGCCTTCATTTCCTGTCAGTGTCTTTTTCTCTGTCGCAACACCACAGTTCTGTAGATGCCTCTTACGTTCATCACTATGCCACATTCCATATCCAAAATAGATGAAGAATCCTGTGGATTGATATCAAAGTTAAGATTTCTATCAAATTTGTATTCCGTTGCGTTTGGATCCATTAGGATGCTTAAAGGCAGTTCATCCCAAAAAAGGTAATATATTAATATTAATATTTATATATATAAATTAATAAAATAATAAAAAAAGTTATAAAGGCATCATAAATCTAATCCCAGTCTTGTTAAGGATATAATTGCTTTATATGATGAACAGATTTAATTTAGACTAATTATTTTTGGTAAACACGGGTACATGTCTCATGTGTGAGTCACATGCTAGAACAAACCTCATTGGTTAAATACTTGAAGAAGAAAAACAACAAGCTTTTGGGTTTAGATCAAAAATGAGGGTAAGTAAACAATGACAGAATTTTCATCACTGGATAAACTATCCTTTCCAATTTTCAACCAACATAAACCTAACCAGTGAAAACCAGCCTGGACCACCATGGAAGTTCATGCTCATCTAAGCTGGTCTTTTCTGCAGGGTTTTCTTAGGTTTATTTCCGATTATGCCTGTTTTTCAAGCAAACAGCCTTGAAACGGCAATGAGACCTTTAGATTTGTTTGAATTTGGTTTAGGATTGCATCCTGTGTGTGTTTACTCAAAGTTAGCACGTACCTATAGCCATCCAGATGGAGAAACGGATCCACGTGTCTCCGCTGAGCTGAACCATGAGATACACGTTGACAAATATACTCAAGATGGGTAGAAAGGGCAACAGAGGAACCTGAAGCAAAAAATACACACTGCTTCAAACATGTGCTTGACTGCACTCTGCTCAGCACTCGCTAATGAAATGATCCAGACTAAGACAGAAAAAACACGATGAATGGAGACTCTCTCGGGTCATATCACATTGTTTTTCATGTTAGATAGCAAGGATAGCACACAATACGGCCCTCCAAAGAACACAAAGTGCTAGGCAAACAGATATTTTATACAGGCTATTACCCTAAAACCCAGTGCTCATCTGGGCAGAATACACAACAAGATGAACAGAGCAGCAACGGTTTAACATGGTGCACATTTATTAAAAGGAAAGTACATCCCAAAATGAAAGTTCTGTCATTATTTACTCACCTTCACATCGTTTCATTTTAGATTTTAGGCAGATTGTTGCTGCTCTTTTCAATACAATAAAAGTGAAAGGATTATAGCAGCAGTCCTCACAACCTGTGTACCTTGTGAAGTCATAGTGGACACCATTCAATTGTTATTGTTACAATATTGTATGGAAAAGAGCAGTATCCTCTTTTTGTGTTCCACAGAAGAAGAAAAAATAGGTTTGGTGATAATTTTTGGGTGAACTATCCATTTAAGAGTGTGAACGACATGTATATATACACACACACACAAATATTTTTGTTAAATATTATATTATATTATATTATATTTTTGTTATGTGTTAATTGTTATAAAGTTTAAATATTTGGTCTCCGTCAGATTTTTTAAAAGAAATTAATATTTTATTAAGCATAAAAAGTGACAGTTTTGACGTTTATTACCGGTATATTACAAAAGATTTCTATTTCAAATCAATGCTTTTGAACTTTCTATTCATCCAGGATTCTTGAACAAAATGCATTGTAGTTTTTCAAAAAATAATTAAGCAGCACAACTGTTTTCAAAATTGATAATAAGAAGAATTGTTTCTTGAGCAGCAAATCGGCATATTAGAATGATTTCTGAAAGATCTTCTGATACTTGTAATGCTGAAAATTCAGCTTTGCCTTCGCAGGAATAAATTACATTTTAAAATATATTCAAATAGAAAACAGTTATTTTAAATTGTAATAATATTTCACAATTTTACTGTTTTTATTGTATAAGATACTGCTTGCGACCCTAAACTTTTATAGTGTACAAGTATGTTAGATTTCAAACCTACCATGAAGGAAACTTTCTTCCTCGTCTGAGGTTGTCTGCAAACCAGAAGGATGCACATGATGAAGATGAACAAAGATGCACCTAAGACCCCCAGGGCCCAGGGCTCCATAGCAATAATGGCCGGTCCGTAGTATGTGTTGAGTGTGCTAATAACACACACAACAAACACTGCAGGGAAAAACAAACACAGATCAGAGATCTACCTAATTGTCATCAGCTAACTTAAAGTCAAATCAGTCTCTATCTGCTGCTGTACTAACCCATGATTATAACAGACACATTGACGGCAGTGGAGGTCTGTTCAGTGGGCAGCAGTGGAGGGTTGAGCAGAGAGCGCAGGGTTACTCTTCCATCCTTCAGCATGTTCAGGTGAGACTCAGACTCCGTCAGTTCAGACTCACCAACCTCTTCCTTGCCTTCATTGATCCTAGACCTCTCAAACGCAGCATCCGGCTGATACCTGACACGTGAAATTTATATTTGAATAGCTACTTCATGCCATTAGAAACAGAAACATTAATACATCTTTTTTGTTAAATATGATAAATGCATCATAAAATGTGACAGTGTCATTAAAGCTCTACAGAGACTATCACAAGAAAACTGTCATATAAAATCTGTTCAAAGTCAAATCATTGAAATATACGTTTATATACCACAGTTGGAAGATGACACATGACCACTAGATGGCAGTGTATAATTCTCACTGCATAATTCTCGCAGTAGGGGTTGTATCCATTTGCATCCTTGTATTAAAGGGTTAGTTCACCCAAAAATGAAAATTCTGTCATTAATTACTCACCCTCTTGTTGTTCGAAACCCGTAAGACCTTCGCTCATCTTCGGAACACGATTTAAGATATTTTTGATGAAATATGAGGGCTCTCTGACCCTCCCATAGACAGCAAGGTAACTACCACGTTCAAGGTCCAGAAAAGTACTAAGATGATCGACAAAGTAGTCCGTGTGACATCAGTGGTTCAACTGTAAAGTTACGAAGCTACGAGAATACTCTTTTGCGCAAAGAAAACAAAAATAACGACTTTATTCGTCACTTTGGACGCGTGTTCACGATAGTACCATGACGCGAGCGTGTGGCGGCGCT